GTGTATGCGATTTTCAGAATATTCTATATGTTGAATAGTCTCTAGTCTTTCTTTACATCATTTTTATTCTTAAATATCATTAGTGAACAAGTTCAAAAGAATAAGATATGTATAACAATTCTTCTTCAAGATACCGCGGATTCTTTGGCCAGACACCATCAGCACATGGTGGCCAATTTCAACGTGTTCTTAAGCTACGTAATTCGTTCGTTCAGACAATCATTATTAAATAGCGTCTGACGGTTTATAAATCAGCAGATGAACTCGAAGTGTTGAAAGCGTTTATTTTGACCTACCACAATTAGATCAGTGGACTAAAAGCACTCAAAGATAAAAATCATCGTGCAAGCGCCGGAAAGCAAGCAAGCGATCGAATTGGCGAATGAATGGATGAAGCGAAGGGGAGAAGTCTAGTGAGTCAACTTCAGGAGATAAAGCATGACTAAGAATTTATAGTCATGACAATAACAAGACAGACATATAATAAGCGAGTAGGCATGCTCACACATGAATAGAAGCGACGAATGAGTGACACAAAAACTCAGATTACAGCAGAAAAGGAAGTCTGGAAGAAGCTCTGAAAGTGGATATGTTACAAACATTATGCCGAGAAATATAGACAAACATGAAAAGAATGAATAACAATTGGACAGAACTAGAAAGGCTAGCCGAGGATAGAGTAGGCTGCAGAATGCTGGTCAGCGGCTTATGATCATCCATGGTGGGTAACAGAGGAGATATATATGTGAATCGATATTTTAGACTATCCATTGGCCAACTTTTAAACTGAGGTTACATTTAGTTTGTTGTCAATGTTTTATTTATGCCAACCTATTGATTATATTTGACAACGACTAGCCACTACAATATTACCACAACATGAATTCACAACAAAAAGACTGATGCAAGTGAAAATCTCTTCCTTTTAAAATATTACAACTATCCTAGTCGAAAATAAGCTCATTTAGTGTATATTGACTTTTATACCAATTGGATTATTAATTAGGATATAGGTCATTTATATATATATATATATATATATATATATATATATATATATATATGAAATTACAACAAAACCGCATATTGCATATTGTACTGAAATAACCTAGACTGAGTAAATATATTGAGGATATTAGATCCCCACGACTCGATTGTTAAATATCTTTATTTTGGATTTATTTCATCAACCGATCAGTTGACCTTGAGTTCACATTTCCCACCAGGAAAATCCTTGCCTGTAATTGGTTACTGTGTCGTTTTAGTGTGCTATTTTTGTGACTGTCCGAAGGATGTCTCTATGGAGTAAAAATAAACGCAATTTGAGTACTTGGATTCATTGTGTACTGGCTGGGTGTTTTGCAGAATATAATTTCTACACTATAACAAGACTTCTTACTGATACAATTTGGTCAAGGGATCACAGTATCTTACCTGGACTCGGGTTCATTGTTTTGATTTCATTATTCGACGAAGTTGAACTCGTAATAGTTTAAGCATACCTAGAGACAAGCGTAACAAAATATCTCCTTGAAATAAATCAAATAATACTCTGAGTAAGCATCATATTGAATTAAAACGGAAGTATAGTGTTGAACAAAAATCATGAAAAGTTGGAAACGTAATTTTCCTTCTGTCATTTCTTTTGGAATATACGATTATTACCGAAATCATAAATGAATCATTGTTAGACTACCATTAGAAAGCCGACAGCACTAGGTGGCCATTTCTTCTTGGAACGGGACTCATGAGTGGTATGCATTCAGGACTTCTTCTACTCGCAGGATTCGAATCGAGAACTTTCGTGAATGGTCGCTTGATAAATGCTTTATCTGGGATTTCAGGCTTGCCAGCATGGGCTGATCAGTTGATCTTGAGATTTCATTTCCCACCAGCAAAATCCATGGCTGTGATTGGCTGCTGTGTATTACAGTGTGCTATTTTTCTGACTGTCCCAAGGACGTTTCTATGATATAAAAATAAACGAGAGTGTGTGCTTGATTGTATTGTGTGATTACTGGGCGTTGTAGAATATACTTTCTACGCTTACCAATACTTCTGTTTTACCGCTTGGGATTCAAGGTAGCCTACCTGGACGCTGGTTCATTGCCTCATTCGTGTTTATCAACTAAGGTGAACTCGTAATAGTTTCAAGCGTACCTAGTGACGAACATAACAATGGTTAACCTCTTGGCCACTGAATCAGCTTCCAACGATGTCGATGTCTAACTCAACATTGCAAAATATACGATTACTTTTATTCTCAGCTGAAAAAATGATTTGTGTAGCTAGCCAAAGTTGACAGAGCATACAATGACCAGTTGAGTTTTCATATTAAGCGAGATTATGAAGTTTCTTGTGGATCCATTCAAACATAACTCAACAATGTTAGATAGCATTCGCAAAATCAGTTAACATTGTTATCTTTTGTTGATTTTGATTATTTATTAGAGTACTGAACGAAATATTTACATTTACTAATCTTGATGGCAGAGATTCTAATATTTAACTGCTTTCATCAAACAAAACGTTCAATATTGTTAAACTATTTTTAAATAAGACAAGAATCAATTTATCACTGCTTATTACAATGCAACTTCGCTTAAAATGCATGTAGACTAATAGCAGTTTTTTGTGGCAGTTAGAAAGAAATGCATATCCACTGAAATAGAAAACTTCATTTCATTGCGTCATATCGACGAGAAAATTCAATTCACCCGGCTAAAAGTGTCAATGATTAAGTAGATTGAGTGGATATCAGCAGGGCATGTTGGACGTTTGGCGTGAATGTCACTGAGGTAATTTTTCGGTGTAAATATTAACACTAAAGCGAAGGTACATCCAGCTAGGTCCTGAGTTCGATTCCCACAAGCAGGGGTCGTCGATGCGAACTACTAATGAGTCCCATACTTTGAACGAGACGGCTATTTAGTCCTCCTAGGTTTTTATTAGTGGTCTAACAATGATTGATTCATGATTTTAATAGAAAATAACAATCTTCATAACTCTGTAATGGATTAAATAGATTTATAAAATGTTTTCTACCCAACAGTGTTACCTGTATTTCATGTCAAGATTTGATAAGAATATTCATAAGAAGCTTAAATAAACTGTATCACAGATGAATTTTACATACTATTTCGTCGTACTCTAAGAATTATAAGTTTTGTATAGACTTAGGCGTGTCCGCGTTAAATAACTTCGGATTTCTCAGAACTAAGCCAAAGAATTACTGAATTGATCGACAGCTATTAAAAAATATCAAAAGTTTGGTGCACAAGTTTCATGTAATAAAGGAATAGAGCGCATAATAACTTTATTGTAAGTAAAATGTACGAACAGCTAATGATGAATAGTAAGACAGTAATAACTTTAATAACAGCTTCACTAAACAAATGGAAAGTTAGTCAGAACTTGAGAAAATAAACTCAGTAAAATATATTTTGAAACAGTGATTGATGCTGGATAGTGGTGACCGTCTAGACCTGCGTTTTGTCCTGTCTCGGGCTCGTCAGTCGGATGAACTGGCATCTCAGATTTGATGTTCATTCCATAAATCAACTATGATACCATTTTTTTCAACTGAGACCAGATAACCAATGGCTTATGTAATCGTCTGGATTTTACTGTGTTTGTACTGATTGTTTGAATATTTCAGAGTGAACTTTAATTCTGGATTGAGGGTAGGTTTAGTTGACAAGTACCAAGTAATAAAATATGACATTCGTCCAAGATTACACTGCTAGCCATTGTCAATCTCTGCTTAAAAATACTTGTCATTTGGTTCTACTGTCTATGGGTTCCTCACAGGAGAGAAATAACTTAAAAGAGACTGATGAATGCAATTCTAAGCATTAGTATCAAGATTCATACTACCAGTGTTTACAAATTAGTAAGACTGGTATTTACAAAATATTACTCAATAGAATAATCATTTAAAATATATTATTGGTGGGGATCACATATGAACGTGATCAAAAGAGATCATCAGGATAGTCTATCAGATTTTTTTGTTTGGGAAAGAAAGAGATGGCTTCGTTAAAAGTTTTTTTTAACGACTCACGTTTCTACGGGATAAGGTCGCTAACCCTATGCTCAACCCTCCCACTTTGTCTTGGCTTAGGATCACCAGTACCCCAGAGGGACTCCAATACAAACATCAAAACTGTTCTGTTATATGAAGAGGAGACTTGAAGAACCATCAAAGCCATCATTTAGAAGATACAAGTCTTTATTAACAGTCGTCTACGCAAGACGCTGTAGATCTGTTGACCAGACATTATCAGCAACAACCTAGTGTAGGAGAGAACAAACCAGATTCCAGTGGAGAAGGAAATCAGGAAGAAATGGTGCAAGTTGATAGGACAAGCACTGAGGGAACCAACCAACCTGGAATCCTCAGTTCCAAAATAAAACAGGAAGATCAAAGAATCCTGGACAGACATCAGGAGAACATCAGTTGGACAGAACGGGAAAAGAAGTCAAAATAGGTTGAAAAAATACTCGTCGGTGGCCTATGCTCCACTGAAGATAACAGGCGTAAGTAAGTAAGCATGCAGAAATTAACAGTCATATTCTGAGTCATCAATCTAAGCATTAAACTCTTTTCAACTCCAGAAACAATACCTCAGATAAAACTCGAAACTAAGAAGGAAAAATTTATCCAGTACTTCATAAATTTTCATGAATGATGAGTTTCTATTTTTTGCATTGATTAACATTAATTAATGAAAATTACAATATATTCCTAGTAGTATGAGTTATTAACCAACTATCGAAATCATGCTGTAATCTATTAATTGTCTGGCCAAACTATCATCAGTGGATTGTGTGTGTATGTTAGGCAAACCAGTCTACTTCATGCTTTACTGTATTACGCCTACACAAATACGCACACACACACACACACGCTACTCACGAATTGACCAATCCGATTGCAACAACATCCATTATACCCTTATGATGATAGGATAGTTTAAATGTCAGTTCTACAAAACTAACTTCAATTGTAGTTTCTTCATTGAAAAGTGATTTTCTAAATCCTGAAATCTAAATTCTACACTTTCACTTTTGAAGCCACACTTCCACATCAAACACACAGAGAACGCATAAATAATTTTATTTATTTATGGCGAATTAGAAGCAGATTTTAAACACCGGAAATGATGAATGTCACCATGACTGTCAGTTTGGTAGATGACTGTAATCAATTATGGAATTTTTCACAAATTATCAATTCACCATTACGCATCATCACATTCAACATTGCTACAATCATTAATCTAGGCATATTTGCAACAAATCTATTCATGATTAGCATTTTATTAATGACTAAAAATAAACGTTTTGATGCAACACGTAAACTACTCATTAATTTATCAATTATTGATATGAATTTCGCTATTTGTATTTTGCCCATGTCAATTATGTATATTATATTAAAAATGCATTGGATTCCGTGTCATATAATATGTCATCTTTGGATTATATCCGATGTGTATTTTTGTTCAACTAACATGTTCAATTTAGTAATTATTGCATTCGATCGAATGCTGGCCGTGAACTATGCAGTGAAATATAATCAAATTATGTCACCTACACGTGTTCGATTGTTAATTTTACTTATTTGGTTATTAGCATTCATCATTGTCTTACCATTGGCAGTTGTATTAATTTGGAATTATCTACAACAACAACAGCAACAGTCAGCTACCATGGACGATTACAGCTTACACTATGAGAGGATTTTTAACAATGTGGAGAATAACAATTGTGTCCAGCATGAATGTAGTCTATTGCGTGTAAATATTTATCTACGATTATTTATTGTGCTATTTTCCATGTATATACCAACTGGTTTAATGTGTTATTTTTATTTTCATGTATTTACTAAAGTGATCATTAATAAACGGGGCATATCGATCGGTTTGTTAATTGATAAAGATTCCATTTATCAGCATCGGAAATACAACAATAACAAACGTAGTACATTTGATGAGAAGAGTTTGGATGAGAAGAAATGTTTGCATAAACCAACGAATACTATTGATAAGGATGCTGTGAATGCAGGGAAGATATCGAAAGTGGATAAAATCAATAAAGAGAAGAATAAGAAAATGATTTGTTCCAAATATGGTCTACTTCGTGTACATGTCGGTGGCAAACATTTACAATATAATAGTAATAGTAATAATAATAATAACAGTAATAGTGCGAACTATAAATACAACAGTAATACAAATATTAACAATAATAATAATAATCACGAGAATAGCTTACAACAAGAAAAACTAATCAATACTTATGATCCGATGATGACCGGCAATACATCACCAACCTATTCAACGAATCAAGAGGATTTATCTTATCATCGAGAACAACAATGTCAAGAGCCACCAGATTCTCCATATACCAACACTGAAGAGGTAACCACTTCAAATCTATTTGATAAATCTGATTGTATTTCAACGAATGCACAAACTGAAGATTCGATTTTAACTAATCTAATCAAAACAAATCACCGATTACAAGACAATCGTAATAATAATAATAATAATGGTAATAATGGTATTTTAATCAAAAAACACTCGAATTCATTATCTGAAGTTGTATTTAAAGTAAATAAGAATAAATTGGATGATACTACTAATTATCATCAGTCAAGTAGTCAGCAGCATCAACAACCACATCAACAACAACAGCATCAGTCACATTCCTCACCACAAAAACAACAGAATTTAAAAGTTAAACTAACCAACATATTACGTAAACACTCATTTCATACGCTATCCCCTTATACTTATTTAAAACCATCAGAATCCAATCAGTCACGACGTTCTACTGGTCGAACTGATAAAGATGCGAAATTTCATGATCTGATCACATTGAGACGATGTGCATTAATGCCATTAGGTCAAAGTACAGCTTGTTCATCGATCAGTAATGAATACACAAATTCTGGTAGAAATTCTGAAAATCTATCGAATTACTCAACAACACAAATCACTCCAAGAAATAGTAATCATTTAGAGCATCGTTCTACCAATGTTGGGTCAGATCAACCACAACAGCAACCACAGCAACAACACCAACAACACCAACACTATACATCATCATTATCAGAAAATTATCATTTCCCTATGAAAGTTAAACGTACAATTGAATTTAAAGCCATTTCAATGTTTCTATTAAATATCAGTTCAATTATTTTATGTTGGTTACCATATTCCACTTTGTTATTATTTACAGATATTCTCCTGCCAACAAATTTATGTCTTTCATTTTCTATTTATGATTTTTTCTATTGGTTACGTTTTGTATGTATTGCATTTAATCCATTCATATATGGTTCTGCATCAGAAGATTTACGTAAAGCATTCAAACGTTTTATATTACATTGTGGTAAAGTGAAACATGAGAAAAAAGCATTGAAACGTTTAGTTCTAGCTGGTCTAGGCGCAGCTGGTATACCATATGGACATAGAATTATTATACCACCACAACAAATGAAATCTACCGAACAAAATCATCAAAATAAATCTGTTGTATTCAATAATAAACCATTAATGCTTATAGCTGATAATGATTAATATTGACTGATGATGATACTTTCAAACATGTTCTCTCCTTCTCTACTCTGCTCTTGTCCTATTTTTTTGCTACCTGTGATTTTGATTTTTTTTGGTTTTTTCTAACTTGGTATGGTAAGTATAACATCATTGCGTTCCATGTTGTTTGATTGATTTAAACAAAAACACTGTGTTTTTTATTCAACGTTCAATATTTTCAATGTTCAATATTTTCAATGTTCAATTAAATTATGGAAAAAACAGAAACCAGATATTTTTTTCTCTCTTGTTAATATGTGATTATATAATACATGTGTACAATTGACCTCATTCTATATAAAAAATTCCATTCATGTTGTACAAAAGAAAAATAATACATTTTATAAAAATATAAAAAAATATAAAATAGTTATCATTTTTTTTGTTGTTTTGTTTTAACTATTGTTTATTTTCCCGCGGGGTTTTTCGTTTGTTTGTTTTTTTCTTTTGCCTTAATTGTTTAAATTCAGGCTGAAATGTTGAAGAATTATTATTAAAAGAATTTAATGAATATAAGAAGAGATAGTGAATAAACAGTTATTATTTTGTGTGCTTATTCACTCATATTTCTATTGTTTTGTTGTTTTTTTTACAAAAATAGGAAAAGAGGAAAATATGTCTGAGAATTTTTTTAGTTTAGCGTAGGTTGGTTGAAAACTGTGGGTTGAAAATTGTTTTTTTTAGTAAAAGTCTTTTATTGTGTGAATACTTCATAAATATATATATATTTTTAATTTAAATCATGAATGAGCATCATTTGAAAACATGGAAGCAGTGGACCAGTGAAATTCAACTATGTTGTGTGTAGGCAGTTGGTGAGGTTGAGTGAATATCCTTAGATTGATCAAAATTAGACAATCACACAAATGGATACTGGCTCAGGGGTACAGAGGTCAGGTGTTCGCGTGCAACACCAAAGATCATGGATACGAATCATGTGAGTAGCAGGAGTCATAGATGAGCAGTATTGATCAGTCCCAAACTGTTCAGTACTTCCAGGTTTTTGATGGCTGTCTAACAATGATTGATTCATGGTTTCAATAGTAAACAACAATCTCTAAAACTCTATAATGAGGCCCAAAAAATCAATAAGTCATTTCGTTGTAATTATTATTTGTGTTGTAATCTTCGGATACAGTAAATGAAAACTAAAACCCATATCTGTATAAATTAAGTGAAATATATATACAAATTAAAACTAATTTTACTTGGTTTTTCAAGGGATCATTTACTTACTTACATACTTATACATGCTTATCATCCCTAATGGAGCATAGCTCGTTGACTAGCATTCTCCAGCCTCCCATGTACTAGGCCTTCCTTTACACTTCTACTCAGTTGCTATTCATTCTTTTCATGTCTGTCTCCAATTCTCGGCGAAATATGTTCTTTGATTATCTTTTTCGTTTGGACTTGAGGATCTCAAGTGAGAGCTTGTCTTGTGACGTAGTTTGGTGATTTCCACAATATATGTCACATCCACCTCCAGCTGTTTTTCCTAATTTTTTGCTCAGCCGGAATCTAGTTTTCTATTTCCCATAATAGGTTATTGCTGATTGTGTCTGGCCTACGGATCCTCATTGTCATTCTTTTCACGTCTGTTTACTATTTTCCGGGTGATATATTCTTTGATCTTCCTCTTCTCCTTAGGCCAAAAGGAGTTCAAGTGAGGGCTTGCCTCGTGACGCAGCTGAGTGATTTCCACCTTTAGCTCTTTTTCCTAATTTCTTCCTTTGTTGTAATCTGGTTTGTTCTGTCTCATAGTAGGTTGTTTCTGATAGTGTCTGGCCAACAGATCCTCATTATTTTGCGTAGACAACTGTTACTAAACATTGATATCTTTTAGATGAAGACGTTCGTGATTCTCCAAGTTTCAGCACCATACAATTGAGGTGTGTTGACATTTGTATTGAAGATTGTGACTTTTGTGTTTGTTGATAGTTGTTTTGAGTTGCAGAAGTTATTCAATTTTAGGATTATTACCCTTGTTTTGTTAATCGGCATCAGATCCACTTTGTATGACTAACATAGTTGCATAGAAGCAAACATTTACCATGATAAAAATGTTGTTGACCATATGATAAATAATATTCATAAATGCCTTTTAGACGATAAGACCACAGGTGAAACTCAGTAACTTTGGACCTGGAAATCAATGGAGCTTATATATATCAGAGTTGAAGCAGGTCCCCACTAATGAGATTAAACAGTAATTGGTAAGCCATTCTACCCCCATTGTGTAATCTGATAATTAAGTACTCAACAGGAGGATATAAGGTATCATTTTCTATCCCTAAGGTTCGAGCATACACATTATTTCAAAGTCCTAAGCTAGAAAAGAGTCAATGCTCAGTATGTCTTGGTTTTTTGTGATTCTCTTTCCAAAGTCATTTTTGAATTTATGCTGTTTAATTCAACATTATTGAAAATATACTGAGTGATTTTAGAGTAGCTCTGAATATATAAGTGATTCTAATCAGTGTACTTAACTATTTTAACAAAAAATTCGTTCCAACTTCACTGTTTTGTTTAAAACGATTTATTTATATATGTATATATTATAACCAGTCAGAACAAAAGTTATCACTTTAAATGACAGCCATATTAAATCGATAATGTACATGTAATTTGGAATCATAAAACAACACGATGTTCAATATTCAAGCAACAATATTAAGCGGAACATTTGAATGATACCATAAACTTACTTACTTACTTACTTACTTACGCCTGTTACCCACAATGGAGCATAGGCCGCTCACCAGTTTTCTCCAAACAACTCTGTCCTGGGCTTCCCTCTCCAGTTCTGTCCAATGTTTGTTCATTCCTCTCATATCTTTATTTCTCGGCGTAATGTGTTCCTTGGCATTCCTCTTTTCCTTTCACCTTGAAGGTTCCATGTGAGGGCTTGTCTCGTGATGCAGTTAGGTGCTTTCCTCAATGTGTGTATTATCCACTTCCACCACTTCTTCCTGATTTCCTCCTGCAGTAGAATCTGGTTTGTTTTCTCCCACAGTACGTTGTTGCTGATTGTGTCTGGCCAACGAATCCGAAGTATTTTGCGTAGACAACTGTTAATAAACACCTGATCATAAACTTAGCATTGAACTATTTCGCTGAAAACAAATAGAATGAATTAATTTTTTAATTGTAGCAGTTATCAAAGAGTTTTGTAAAAAAAAGTGTAATCACAGTTAAACAATAAGTGGATGAGGTCACGCAAAATCTGTAGATTGATCAAAGTTAGACATTAACACCATTCGATGCCGGCCCAGTGTTCCAGAGGTTAGGCGTCCGCGTACAAAACCAAAGGTCCTGGGTTAGAATCCTGCGAGTAGCAGGAGTCGTGGATGAGCACTGCTGATGAGTACCGTACCAGGATGAAACGGCCACCGCCCAGTGCTTCCAGGTTTCTAATGGTGGTCTAAAATGGATTGATTGATGATTTCAGTGTGTAAAAATAACGCTAATCTCCATAACTCTAATTGAAAAATAGGTTATATATATATTGGTATATCGTATTCTTTGTAAAATGTTGAGATGCTACTTAAATAAATTATAGATTCTTTAGAATAAACTGTATCGCTGTTTCATGACAAAAAAAACTGATCAATACTTTCAAGATTTTAACTATTTGTGAACTCAATTAACTAACTGATCGTGACGAAAATATAATTTTCTCTCTCTATTGCATTGGTTAACTAGTGAAACCATCAGTGTTTTTTTTAATTTTCCTGAACAAATATCATTCGTTTCAAAACTTTTGTTGATCAACAATAAAGTGTAATAAAGAGTAGACATATAATCACTTGACACAACCATAAATGTTTGCAACTCAGTTATTGAACATTGAAAGACAAGTTTTTAATGAATAGAAACGATGAACAGCAAACGTAAAATAGCTTATTTTACAGGCTGATTTATAAAATTAGCTAATTGAGTTTAGCCTAAATTAAATTTTTTCTTTAAAAAAAGTCAACATTAAAAATGTCATCAACATTCTATGTGTTAGGAAAAAAATATTGAACAATTTATCATCATTCTAAGTTGTATGAATTAAAATGTTAGGCAAATTTGTTTTTTTCTCTAAATGCTCTAACCTTTGTTTATGAGACTGTATTAAAAATTATCAAAGTAAAGAGTAGGCAAAAGACTATTCAATTAGAATGTTTCTAATGAATTGTTTAAATTATTCACTAAGTTGAATTGTTGTTGAATTGTAGCCGAATCGGTAACCAAAGTTACGAAATGCTTTCTGCTTTCATTCAATCGATATGCAATTGATTCTACCGACAGATAATTGACTGATCATTGTGTTTTTGAGCCATATCATAGTTTGCTTTGAAATTATGAATGAATCATTTGTTTTAGATCACTCATCATTAGAAACCTGGAAGTACTGAAAGACGGCCATTTCCTCCTGGTATGGGATTCATTAACAGAGCGTATTCGCGAATCCTGATACTCGCAGAATTTGAACTCAAAACCTTTGATCTTATGCGCTAACGCCTGACCGTTGGAATATTGAGCTGGCATCCAATGGTCTGATCAACCCTACCTATTATTTTTGGTAGTTACTGCCTACGCCCGACTGGTTTTAACTCCACTAATCACATCTTCTAACCAGAACTCCTAAAATTTCCGCTCGACATAGTCATTAGTGAGCAAATTCTGATTTCACATTAGAGGATTATTGAGATGGTAGCTTTACCTTGAAATCATGCGCACTGTTGATGAGTCTCAAGCTAGGATGAAACAGCTGTCTTTCAGTGCTTCGAGATTATTAATGTTGGTTTAACGATGATTCATTCATGAATTCAAGGTAAAACTATCATCTCCACAATACTCTAATGCCGTATCATGTTTGTCTAGTCTTGTAGTTCAGATCCAACAAAGTAGTATCAGTTAATATATGATTTCCAGGTACACTTTCGTGAACAAGCACGACACTAAAGTTAAGGGCTTCCTCCAGACTATCTTCTATCACCGAATATCCGAATTTACTGGTATTGTAATTAAGAAAAAAATCCTCGGTGTGTGTTGAGTTTTTTTATCGAAGATAAAATTTTTAATTTCGTAATTGATTGAATTACGAAAGCCATCATCCAGAAAATACAAGTGTTTATTAACAGTTGTCTACGCAAAATAATTCGGATTCGTTGACCAGACACAATGAGCAACAACATACTGTGGAAGAGAACAAATCAGATTCCAATGGAGGAGGAAATCAGGAAGAAGTGGTGGAAGTGGATAGGACACACACTATGAAAAGCACCTAACTGCGTCACGAGACAAGCCTTCACATGGAGCACTCAAGGTGAAAGGAAAAGACGAAGGCCAAGGAACACATTACACTGAGAAACAGAGAAAGACATAAGAAGAATGAACAAAAACAGGAAAGAATAAGGAAGGGAA